ACTGTCCACTCTGCCTGTCAAAAATAAAATAAGATAAAATAAAAACATCTTTTAAAAACATATATTTGAGAGGAAGACAGAATATATTCCTTTCCATTGACTACTCCCCATATGCCTGGGATAGCTGGCACTGGTCTAGGTTGAAGGTGGAAGTCAGGAACCTCAATCCAGCTCTTCCATGTGGGTTTCAGAAATCCAGTGTCTTAAGCTATCACTACTGCTTTCCAACTCTATTAGCAGGAAGCTGAGCCTGCAGCTGGAGGTAGGCCTTAAACCCAGACCCTTCTATATCAGATGTGGACACTTTAACTTGATGCTAGGACAAATGCCTGCCCTGAAGTGTGCCACATTTTGACACCTTAAATACACAGGCAGATCAAGTACATGTGCTAATCCTGTTGATATTTTTTGGCATTTAATGAGTAGAGATTTTGAAAAATACCCAATGTTACTAGAAATGTTTGCGTATGCTGGCTTCCATTACATAAGTCAGATTAAGAGTCGAGTTTTGAATACTGAAGTGTCCAGCTATTACTATTGCTGTGTTTGTTTTTAGAGAAAGATGAAAAGAGTTGAATATGGAAAGGTTAGGTATCAATTGTACCTCATGTATATTAATTAAATTAATGAAGATGCCACTTAATAACTGGGGAAAGCATTATAATGGAGGCATTGAGTGAGAAGTTTGTAGTGAATACTAGAGATTACTAATTAAGATGATTTTTAATTATAAATTCTTGTCATCCCTTCTTTGGGAGTTATTTAAACTATTTAGAGAAAAATCTATAAAAATTATGTTCTCTTTAACGAGGCCATACAACATTATTCCTTGGACTATTAACAAAGATTAGAGATTAAAAAGAAATGAAAGAAAACCTAGAAACTTCTGGTTTTGTGGATGCTGGTGCATTTGTCTGCAGCAATCACAGGATATGATGGCAGAAGCCAGCTGATGACTGACATTTCTGAAATGCACTGGACTGAAACCTGCTGAAGGGGTCACTGCCAGTGAACAGACTGAGCTGTTGTTTGGCCCTAGGAAGGTCTTTGTATGTGGTGATCATCCATTTGTTAGACTACCTATTTCAGATGGGGAACATCCTAATGTCAGGATAATGCCAAGGGTGAGAAAGACATATTAAATTTACACAGATAAGGCTTTTCTATACTCCTTATGAAAGATGGGATACTTTGTAAAGAGCAAACCAGCAGGGCTGAGTGACTCTTGGCTATGCTTGGTAACAGTTGAGAAAATTAGTTTAATTTGGTTTCAAGTACTATTATTTTCAATCATTTAGCAACTCTATAGAATAATTTATTAGTCTCAAATATTAACATATTTATAGCATCCTCATTCAAGCACTTGTATCATGTGTTGTTTGTTCTTCCTCAGGGTGAATATTGGCTCTTTTCCAGAATAATAAAAACATCTATCTATAATACACTTATCCATAAGCAGAGTCCTTGATAAAAATGGAGTCATATATATTTATCATGTTGACTGAAACATACTTAACTTCCACTGTATTAAAATACCATATGTATTTTTAAATACATTATTTTTGACTTAAAGTTCACAACTATTAAAATACTGTGATATTTCCCATCAAACTGGTAATATTATGTTTCATTTATGAAAAGCATTTTCTCCATTGGTCCAAAATGCAAAAACTTTGTCAAGGCACCGGATTCTGTCCCGGTTGCTCCTCTTCCAGTCCAGCTCTCTGCTGTGGCCTGGGAAGGCAGTGGAGGATGGCTCAAGTCCTTGGGTCCTGCACCCACATGGGAGACCAGGAGGAAGCACCTGGCTCCTGGCTTTGGATCGGCACAGTGCCGGCCATAGTGGCCATTTGGAGGGTGAACCAACAGAAGGAAGACCTTTTTCTCTGTCTCTCTCTCTCTCTCTCTCACTAACTCTATCTGTCAAAAAAGAAAGAAAGAAAGAAAAAAAACTTGTCAAGCAACATTTCCTATTTAGTGCATAATGATAAGTATTCATCCTGCATAAGGAACTTAATCAGAATGGGTGCATTTATTTGCTAATGTTCTTATTTCCTTCTAGAAAGTAAACTGTATTGAGAATTAAAGTAGCAGATTTCAGGTTAGAGAGGCTGACCTCTAGGATTTCTAACCAATCTTGATAGTTTTGGTGTATTTTTCCCCCTGACCTACAATATAAATCTTTAGAAGCCCCAAAGAAAATGTGATTTTGGTTTTACAGTAATTATCTTTGAAACATCATCTTCAAAAGTATTTTATTATCTTACGAGTCCATTAGTATACAAAATCAATACTTTAGCCACTGAGTGGAGCAATTTATTTTTTCTCAGTATTTTTGATAGAAGCCACTGCTTGCTTCTAATTTACTTTTTTTTCTTTCTTACTACATTCCTTTAATCTTTTTAAGTGTTAAATCCTAATATAAAATTAGTAGGGCTATGATAGATTACTGTTCCTTTGTGGTGAGCAGACAGGACAGATCCAGTGGTCTTGAATACATGTGTAACATAGGAAGTAGCATTAATTTTCTTAGGGAAGGGAGTTTGAAATTAAACTCATACAAATTCTCTACTCGACTTTGGGAAGACCTGGTGGCCTCTGCAAGTATTAAACTCAGGATCTACTTTTCTCTGCCCTCAAAAATTCAAGGAAAGGAAGCATCTTCAAGTAGCTGCTCCTGTGAACCATCTTAGTCACCTGAGTGCCAAGGGAGAGACAACTTTCAGAGTGACAAGTAAATACTGCTGACACGCCAGTTGCAACATGGAGTTGCTATCACTGAGTGTGGCTTTTCAGTAAATTACTACACTCACGGTGGCCTTCTGGTTGTAAGCTTAATGTGAATTGCATTAATTTCCTATTGCTGCAGAACAGTTAACTTCAAAATTTAGCAGCTTAGGCCGGCGCCGCGGCTCACTAGGCTAATCCTCCGCCTTGTGGCGCTGGCAAACCGGGTTCTAGTCCCGGTCGGGGCGCCAGATTCTGTCCCGGTTGCCCCTCTTCCAGGCTAGCTCTCTGCTGTGGCCAGGCTGTGCAGTGGAGGATGGCCCAGGTGCTTGGGCCCTGCACCCCATGGGAGACCAGGAGAAGCACCTGGCTCCTGCCATGGATCAGCATGGTGCACCAGCAGCAGCGCGCCGGCTGGGGCGGCCATTGGAGGGTGAACCAACGGCAAAAGGAAGACTTTTCTCTCTATCTCTCTCTCACTGTCCACTCTGCCTGTCAAAAAAAAAATTAGCAGCTTAAAACACAAAACATTTATCTCCCATACTTGGGAGAAAGAAACAGCTTTATAGCTGGGTTGTTCCAGTTCAACATCTCCAAGGAGATTGTGGTAAGGATGTCTGTTCAAGCTATAGGCATCCATAGTCTTGGCTGGGGCCTCATGACTCTTTCTTGGTGACTCCCTCATATGTATGGCCTGTTGGTGCTGGTTGCCAGTAGGAGACTTCTGTTCCTTGCCACAGAGATACCTCAGTGTGTGCTTGGCATGGTATGTTCATAGGATTGAGTGGTCTGAGATAAAGGAAGGCAGACTCTAAAATGTCTTTTTCTTCTGCTGATTTTCTTTTTATTAATAAAAAAAGAAGCAGTTTCATGTATTTCACAGGTACAGTTCTAGGAAGACAGCCATACTCTCCTCCTCCCCCTCTCCCTTTCTTAACCTCCCTTCCTCCCTCCCTCCCTCCCTCCCTCCCTCCCTCTCTTTTTTTTTTTTAATTTTTGCAAGGACATGCATTCAGTTCACTCTCTAATCACAGCTTTATAAACTGACCTTGCGAATCATGCACTATCATTTCTATTATTTACAAAGATCAGCCGCATTCAGAATGGGAGAGGACCCTGTCCATGAGTGCCTGGATCCCAGGAGGGGAAGTTTTCGGGCGTTCACTTGGAGGTGGACTTCACAGAGTATAGTTACCCTTCAATTGGGCAGTTGAGAAAGCTGGTGATGGGAAAGCTTGCGTTCCTTCATTGCCCATGACTGTGCTACTTTAAGCAACCTTCTCTTTCCAAATCAGTACTTTCATGTCGGGCCCTTATTCCTCAGGGCTCTGCCCTCTGGTTCTTCCCATCTTTTAGTCCTCATGAAACCAACCAGTGTTCATTGAGGGCAAATTCCATGTCAGTTACTGTTTGTTCACACCGGTAAACAAATCACTTCCCTCATAGAGCTTTCCTTTTTTCAGAGTAGCTGCTTTCTGTCCTAAGTGGTCTCTTGTCATCCGTATTGTCCATTTTTGCCCTATTAACATTCTGCTTGGATTACTGTACATGTAATGAGGTAAACAAATTCAAGGTAGGAGATCAGTGGTTGGCACTATCCCCTTCAGGAAACATTTCTATTTCAAAGGAGATTTAACCTGAAAGCATAAAGTGGGACTTTATGAACCTGAGAAAGTGCTCAACACAGTAGGGAGGCTCCCTCTTTTGCAATAATGTCACTCCTTTAAATCAACTGCAGGATTTTCGTTCAATGGAAAATATTACTGTCAAATATTATTTAGCATGCTAGTGTTCACAGGGTGGGTATACAGAATAAGAAGAAAAGCACATGTTGAGCCTAAACAAGGGTAAAACACATAAATATAGTTATTTCCATGAGCCCATGAAGAAAGAGATGACTTTTTTTGCCAGTATTTTCCCAAATTGACACAGTGTGATTTGAATGTCCCCAAATATGGCTGAAAGACATGGATCTCCTTTTACATACGTAATTGTTTGGGCCAAGAAATCTTTCCCCACATGTCAGATTGGTCAACAATGAGGAGGTAAATGGAAACTAATGACACTCATCAAGTTGGTGATGTGAATGATTTATTGGACCCAATCACTTAACACTTTCGTAGAGTCAATATCTGGGAAAGAAAATGGGCTTTTATTATGGTAAACTGTACTTGTCCTGTCAGCATTCAATGATTTATTACAAACCTGTGGCTAGGATTAAGATATTATAAATGGGAGAAAATGGAAAGCTCATTAATTTTTTATACCCACAGGTGGAAGACATGCAGTGGGCTGACAGAGAACACACTCGCCCGGCATCTGTCTGCAGCCTTCCATGTAAGCCTGGGGAGAGGAAGAAGACGGTGAAAGGAGTCCCCTGCTGCTGGCACTGTGAGCGCTGTGAAGGCTACAACTACCAGGTGGACGACCTCTCCTGTGAACTCTGCCCCTTGGACCAGAGACCCAACATCAACCGCACAGGCTGCCAGCGTATCCCCATCATCAAACTCGAGTGGCATTCTCCCTGGGCTGTGGTGCCTGTGTTTGTGGCAATACTGGGCATCATCGCCACCACCTTTGTGATCGTGACTTTTGTCCGCTACAATGACACACCCATCGTGAGGGCTTCAGGACGTGAACTTAGTTATGTGCTCCTAACAGGGATTTTTCTCTGTTACTCAATCACCTTTTTAATGATCGCGGCACCAGATACAATCATATGCTCCTTCCGACGGATCTTCCTAGGACTCGGCATGTGTTTCAGCTATGCAGCCCTTCTGACCAAAACGAACCGCATCCACCGAATATTTGAGCAAGGGAAGAAATCAGTCACTGCACCCAAGTTCATCAGTCCAGCATCTCAGCTGGTGATCACCTTCAGTCTCATCTCTGTGCAGCTGCTTGGGGTGTTCATCTGGTTTGTTGTGGATCCCCCACACATCATCATTGACTATGGAGAGCAGCGGACTCTAGACCCAGAGAAGGCCAGGGGAGTGCTCAAGTGTGACATTTCTGATCTCTCGCTCATTTGTTCACTTGGATATAGTATCCTCTTAATGGTCACTTGTACTGTTTATGCCATTAAAACAAGAGGTGTTCCAGAGACTTTCAACGAAGCCAAACCCATTGGATTTACCATGTATACCACCTGCATCATTTGGTTAGCTTTCATTCCCATCTTTTTTGGTACAGCCCAGTCAGCAGAAAAGGTAAGTGGCAGGAAATGTATTTGGCAGTCCGTTTCCTGGATTTAACTTCTTCCTTTAGGATCCTTCCATTTATTATATACATATGTTTCCATCCCTCAAGGTCGCTTTGGTTTGAGTGTGTGCTAAGATTGATTTTTCCATGAAGAAACGCTTTAATGCATGCTCCTTGGCAAGGTTGAAGATTGACAAAGCTCACGTAATTTTCCGGATCTCTCCTCCCAGCTCTGTGATCTTCTAACATCACAGTTCTTTTCTAAATGTTAATTAAAGGAGGGAAGGAAGAAGGACAGGCATGGGTCAGAGAGGCGAGCTATCCCAGAGATCTCCCACTGCATGACAGCTACCTCCATTTCTCTTCTCATGGGATGCTGGCCAAAAGCCATTCTTTGATAATGATGACTTTTGTGATGCAAGCAGAATTTACAGTAAAACAACCAAAGCACAAAGGAACTGAAATGGTTCAGTTCAGTGTGAACCATCTTCCTACTTCTCAACCCCCATTCTTGTGATTTTTCCTTATGTGGTAGTTGGTGGTAGGGGATGAAGAAGATAGCAATGATATAAAGCAGTTTCTAATTATTTAAGAGGAAAATCAATTGGATCCCCCAAAGTAATTTTCTTTCTCACTAATCTCCCATTAACATTTTCTACATTAAATGTTAATAATGAAGAACATGTGTATAGGAAACGAAGTATTTGCACAACTGGATATGTGTAGTTTTATGATCAGAAAAGCAGGGAACTAAATAAGGTTAACCCTGAAATTTAAGGTTTCAGTACTGAGATGATACAAACTGTCTTGCATAACACAAGAGAATGCTTTCTTTCTGTAATGATAAGCCCTTAAGATTTTATGTGTGTGAAAAAGTTGTTCTAAGTGAGGACTTCAAGATTTTCTATCTCCCATCATCAGCAGTTGTCAAAAAAAAAAAAAAAAAAAAAAACCTTGGGGGGCAATTACATTTCCTGGGCTGTAATTTTCCAAGTGGGGTTCTACCTGGCTTAAAATCTCAGCAAATTCAATAAAAAAGTCCTCAATAAGAGAATGGAGGGCTCATTAGTATGAACTTTCATCCTCCACTAGATCAATGTGGCCTTCAACCATATTATGGCAAAAAATGTAGTTCAGCAAACTTGCTGCCGAGCAGAGTCAACTTGTCATGGGTTGCTTATGTTTCATGATCAAACGGCCTGGTGCAAGTCCATGAATATTTTATGAAGGACCAAGAATGTGGCAAGAAAGTAAAGTAAGAGGGTAAGGCTCTAACTCTAATAATCAGAAAACACATTTTGATACACATAGATGGGAATTTATTAGGGTCAAACCTGCAAATTTAACTTAGGAAAAAGAGTGGGTGAGCTTGAAAGCAAGACTCTCAGTCTATTGTTTTGGTTTTTTGTATTTTTAAAATATATTTTATCAGACCAGTCAGTAAAAATTTTTTCATATTTTAGAAATGCTTAAATTATGTGCATTATTAATAACATCAATGAAAAAATTACTTGTATTTGAACTACCTTTGTGTACCATTTAATCTGGAGGGTTCTGTGACTAGTATTTTATTCTTCTTTCAAGTGGACAACAAATATTGGAAGCAAACAAAATCTCCTGAGCTAATATCTAATTTATTTTTCTTTGTCTTCATTTATATTTTATAATCTATAACCTGCTCTTCCTTTTCATACAATGCCTTACAAGAATGGGAGAAGCACATATGTACTGTTTATAAGAATGTTTAAATGTACTAGTTATAGCATTACTTCACATTGGACAACACACTAAGGACAGATCCCACATGAGAAGTAAGTACACAGTGACTCCTGTTGTTGACTTCACAATTTGACACTCTTGTTTATGGCGTCAGTAATCTCCCTAGGCTCTAGTCATGAGTTGCCAAGGTTATGGAAGCCTTTTGAGTTCGCCAACTTCGATCTTATTCTGACAGGGTCATAGTCAAAGTAGAAGTTCTCTCCTCCCTTCAGAGAAAGGTACCTCCTTCTTTGATGGCCCCATTCTTTCCACTGGGATCTCAATCACAGAGATCTTTCATTTAGGTCTTCTTTTTTTTTTTTTTTTTTCAGAGTGTCTTGGCTTTCCATGCCTAATGTTTCCATGCCTAAATGTAATGTTTATAAGATTTTTTTTCTATTTAAATATGTCTTTCAGTGCCTCCATTACTGACTAAGTGAAATCATGGGCCTACAACATGCTACTATACATCATACAGTAGTTAAAAAACATGCATAGTATTCAGGGCTTTTTTATGGTAATACCAACCATAAGCATGTTCTCTAAGTCAGTACTATTATAGGTTGGTAGGTACCCCTTAGGAGCAGTTGTGGAGACAATAAGAACCTCAACATGAAATGGACATGCAGCTGTTCGGGGAGGGGATGGAGATATCCCTATGCTGCTGTCCATGCCTTTGAAAACTTGGAATTTATACATTTTTTATGGATATGGATATATGTGGGCATGTAGAGGTATAATTGCAAGGGGCTAGGAAAAGTTAAGAAGCACCTTTAGGACAGGTTATGTATCATGTTAACTGGTACTTATTTTGTGTTCATTATATCATTGAATGTGGAGAAGATTGCAGAAATCAATAGAAAACAATAACTAAGAGATTTCAGAACATTGCACAACACTTATTCAGTTAGTCTTAGAATTGTTGAGCTTAGATCAGCTCTATATCAATAATTTTGCAGCTAAAATACTTTATGTAATAAAATGATTTCTTATAAACTTCACCTTCAAATTGACTGTCTGCTATTCTTAAAGTACCTTTTATTATTCAAAATGATATAAAAGTTCTTGAATATACTTTTCATTGCTAAAATTATTGACATGAGTATTCAGAATGAATGCAATTTTTTTTTTATTTCTAAAGAAAGTCTCTCAATCAGTTTTCCTGACTTTGGAGGAATTGTTCAGTCCTCCGTTTTCACTGATAATGCCCAGCCAATTAGTTCAGGTTATCAACTTGAAGCACTTACAACAGCTAGGCAACACATACATCCATTAATTCATCAGATCTTTATTGAGCAGTGTGTCTGGCATTGTGCTAATTATCGAACCCTTGTCAGTCTGCTTCCCTGAACTTTCCTTCTAGTCTGTCTGATTCCCAGCCCATGCCTTCCTGACACCTGCCAGCACCAGTAGGATGCCAGGCTCCAGAGCAGGAGAAGAGGGTGAAAAGTCAGGTCTGAGATCAAAGAGCAAAGAAGAGAACTGTGAAACTGAAACTAAACATGAGTGACATAGAATTTAGAAGATGGGAGGCAGCAGCAGAACAAATTTTCTTCCAGTATGCATGTTATTATGCCTTCTCAGAGTAATGTCTGCAATAGAATTCATCTATCCATACAGCTCTCTTTGAAGTTATAAGGAGAAATAAAAAAGAGTAGTTGCATAGCTTAGACAGATGTCTTGGAATGTCTGCATAAAAGCGAGTTATTAAAGGAGACATTGTCAGGAAGACAGGTGGCTCTTTGGAAGGTATTTCTGTTCAATGGTTAAACACCTTTTGTTTTGCTCATTGCTTCTTCTAGATTTTTTTTATTTTTAATTTTTAAAAAATTTTTTTAATGAGTATAAATTTCCAAAGTACAGCTTATGGATTACAGTGGTTTCCCCCCTCATAACTTCCCTCCCACCCGCAACCCTCCCATTTCCCTCTCCCTCTCCCCTTCCATTCACATCAAGATTCATTTTCAATTCTCTTTATATACAGAAGATCAGTTTAGCATATATTAAGTAAAGATTTCGACAGTTTGCACCCACATAGAAACACAAAGTGAAAAATACTGTTTGAGTTCTTCTAGATTTTTAAATAGAGATGAATAATTTTTTTCAATAGATTTAATGATGCTATTTTCTTTTTCTGTAGAAAAGTGAGCTGGAGAAAGGGTGGACACACTGAGGCATGACCATATAGACTAACACAAACTCCTGTGATTGTCCTAAAAAGACAAAATACTAAGATATAATTAACTTAACCATCAGGAGCAGAATCCTTAGGGATGGCTAGGAGCTGTTAGGATGGCAGAAATACCCTACATACATATTTTACCATTGCTAATTGGGCTCATAAAATCAAGATAATCAGACACAGGTTATGATACCACCAAACTCCAAAGAACACAGTGCTTCAACCAGAGAAACGGATAGAAAGGAAAAAACACCCTCAGGATGGAAAACTCAAAGCTGTAAAAAAAAAAGTAAATAAAACCCCAAACCAGTTTTCTTCTTTTTCTCTCTGGATGCATATTACAACATCTCTCTGGGAGGTCAGATCAGAAACCTAGACTTCTCTTTCTACTCACTCTCACCCCCTTATTTCCTCTTCTCCCCTATAATTATCATCTGTAAAAGTACATGGGGGACAAGTAGAATCTATCCGAAGTACATCTAAATGACCATGCCTCAACATAAGCCCTTATATAGTACTATTTCAATAAAGGCCTATGGAATGCACTCTGATGACCTAATAATATAAATGCATTTTAATGATTTTAGGTAGATTATGGCATAACAGAAATGTTCTGTATACATTTTATTGTGATTCCCAATTACAACAAATTTCTCTTTTTTAAGGTTTATTTACTTATTTGTGTGAAAGGCAAGTTAGAGAGAGAGAGAGAGAGAGAGAGAGAGAAAAAATAATTGAGCCTCCATCTGCTGGTTTACTCCCCAAATGGCCAGAATGGCCATGGCAGGACCAGGCTGAAGCCAGGAGTTGGGAGATTCATCTGAGTCTCCCATGTAGGTGCAGGGGCCCAAGGACTTGCGCCATCCTGCGCTGCTTTCCCAAGCACATTATCAAGGAATTGGATTGGAAGTCGAGCAGCCTAGGCTAGAACCAGTTACCCACATAGGTTGCTGGCCTCACAAGCACTGGCTCTGGCCACTGTGCCACAACACTGACCCCCTATAACAACTTTGTTTTTTGAAAAATTTCTATTTAGTAATGGCCACATATGTTTTTTCACTGTCACTT